ACTGCTGGTCTCATCTGCTCCGGCGACGCCTTGACCACCGCGCCCGGCAGTGCCACCCAGTAGTTGCCACGCACCTCGCCCATGCAGATACCAGGTCGCCAGCGGTGGTGGGCTCGCTTACCCGGGATGCCCTTGTTCTTCATCATGCGCCACACGGCCACCATGTCTCCGGGCAGGTACTTGGCTACGACTCTGGGCCGCGAGTCCAAAGCCCGTCGGGCCGTCAGCTTGTCCTGCTGCATGAGAACCTTCATGCGCGTGACCGTCCTGATCCGAGCCTGCTGCGCCGCGATCGGGTCGTTCACAATGGCGCTGTTGGCGATCAGGTCGGGGTTGTCCTTCAAGAGGTCGCCTGGGATCTCCGGGTTGCGGCCGAAGACCATCTGCATCGGGGACACCCCGGTCACCGAGAGGAGACTGTTCTTGGCCATCACCAGCTCCGCGACACACTCGCGCCACTCCGTCTCCGTCTGGGGCTGCGCCTCGCGGATTACGTCCTCCAGCATGATCTCGAACAACTGGTTGTGGTGCTCGATCTTGCCGTTCTGCTCCTTCGCTCCACCTGCTGTGTCTACCACCTCGATCTCCTGCCGCTCGCACCAGTTGAGGAACTCGTCGCTGATCTGCGCCCGATGTGGGTCCACCTTCAGCCACTTCGGACGGATGTAGGGGCGGATCCACGCCCGCTCGAACGCATCAATGAGGTTCTTCGACGTCTCCGCCATGCCGATCATTGGCTCCACCTGGTGCAGGGAGCTCGTCTCGTCGATGATGCCCAGGCAGGTGATCCGCTCGCCCGGGATCCAGCTCGGCAAGTCCTTGCAGTCCATGCTCACGTACTTCAAAGGGAGATGGGTCTCCGCTGGTGTACTGTGTCGAGCGACCTTGGGGCACTTCATGCCCTCGCATTCTGGACAATAGAAATCATTGGCCGCCTTGATCGCCTGCTCCGTGGCGTGTGCGTGTCGCAGATGTCTTATCAGCACGTTGTTCTTGCAGTGGCCGAGTTGCACATGCAACTTCCTGAGGCTGCTCTCTATCGAACTGTGAGGCCGACGTAGTACATCGCGTGTCTCATCTGCGTCCTCTTCTTCTCCCTGTACTGCCTTGCACGCGGCCTCCGAGCTGAACGCCTCCACCTGACACTGTCGTCGCATGCCTCGCACGATCGCCTCCACCAGCCTCTTGGGGTACCGTTGGCTGAACACCGTGCGCTTGATCCCACACTTCAGCATGCCTTCTGTATGTTGATGCTCGTGTCCTCCTCCACACCGCTGGTGAACCGCTTTCGCGACCTCCGGCGCAGACGTCACGAACTCCCAGCTCTTAGGCATCAACTTCAGGGTGTCTGGGCACCTCAGTCCGAACTCGCAGCCGCTCGCTATGCCCACGTACACGCCTCGGGTCTGCAGGAGCTGCTTCATCACTGGCACCTGGAGGCTCGCGCACCTCGGGGGGGTCTCATAGACAAAATGCCTGCCCCGCTCCATCTGGTAGATCGCGACCTCCACGACCACATGTACCAAATTCACCGACCACTTCACATCGCTGAAATGCTGTGCCAGATCCTTCCGACGATCCAAGGGCATGCACTGCTGCATGATCGACAACTTCCGGCATGGAGGGCACATGTGCACGAAGTACGGCTCGTCCTCTATGATGTGCTGCCACATGGCGTTGTAGTCGTCGTCCTTGTCCACATCCCAGCCGTGCACCTTGTCGAGACTCTGACCTTCCAAGAACCCGCACCGCGCCGCTACTGGCACGATACGAGGTGGGGAGAACAGCTCGGTCACCATTCTCCTGGCCTGTGGGCTCCGACCCGGCCCTACTGAAAAATCCGTGTGGGCGGACTCCCCACGTCCCGCACGCGCACTGATGACGTGTGCGCCTGCCTCTTCACCTTCTTTTCCCGGTTCAGGAAATCGATCTCGTAGTGGCCTGCCACCGTTTCGCTCATGGGAATCGTGAGGCCAAGGCGCTTCAAGTACAACGAGTCCGTCTCCAGGTCCAGGGCCGCGCCCAGAGCCTTCATGTCGGGCTTGCTCATCAGGAAACCTGCAGAGCCCGGGACCACATACACCACGAACGTCACGATGAAGTTCTTGATCTCCCAGTCCAGCTCCACAGCACCGACCGACTCCTGCACACTATTGTCGAACCCGCGAAACCGCATCGGCTTGGCGTCCTTCAACCACCTCGCCTTCTTGCCTGTCGCCGCCTCGTGCTTGGTCAACGTCTCCTCGCCGATCAGGGACTTGCAGCACCCCGTGTCTGGCACGGAGCAGCCGTCGGCGTGAGTCACGCCCAGGACCGTCCCTTCCTCGGCGGCCCTCTTCTCGACCGACGCGTACTCGTCCTCCTGCTGCTCCTTCATCTCGTGCGCCAGCCGCTTCCAGCGCTCCTGCTGGATGAGCTTCGCCAGCACATTGTCCTCGTGGACCTTCAGGATGCTATTGATCTCGTCGTCCAGGTCCCCGTCGATGATCTCGTCGTCCTGAGCCGCTCCCAGTACTGCCTGAACTCGTGCTTCTTCCTGGTCCTCCTCATCCATCGGCTCGACGAACACCATCTGCGAGCTGTGGGCTGGGAGGGGCTCCTTGCAGTCCCTGCTGAAATGGCCGATCTTCTTGCACCGAAAACACTTCACCCTACGGCCGAGCTTGTCGAGGTCGTGCCGGGTCGGTCCACCATGACCTCCTTGTCCTGGTCGGGCCTTCCACTGAGGCCTGAGCCCGCGGTCCAACTTCTCCTTGGTCATCGCCGTGCGTGTCTGCTTCCACGTCGCCAGGATCTCCACCGCGTCCGCCTCATCGATCGGCTCCGCCGCCTGGACGATCGCGTCGATCTCGTCCGTGATGTCGTCCTCCACGCTCTCCTCCGCGTAGTGCTCCGGCGGCGGGCCGACCTCGGTGTCCCCGTGCTCCTCTTCCACCGCGAACGCCGTCTGCGTGAGCCTCTCTGGTGGAACTCCTGGGAACGCCGTCCTGATTGCCGTGCACACCTCCTCCACGTTCCAGCTCCGATGGGTCGCAGACATCACCGTCGCACGACCAAAGGGTCCCAGCCGAGCACCACGCAGAATCAGGTAGCCTCTGGCGACCGACGGCAGGTCCACGCCCTCCTTGGCCAGACGCGCGTACACGAGCTGAGCGCGCCCGGTGTAGGCCTCCGTCGTCTCTTGCTTCTGGATGCGCAGGCTGAAGCCTTCCTCCATCGCTTCTCCGAGACGGTCCGCTGCCACCTTCTCAGGAAACCGCTCGTCTAATCTGTCGAACACCACCTCCTCACCGTTGTCTACGTTGATGTCCGCTAAGTCTACGTTCTCCACTGCCAGGGCCGCCTGTCCATCCAAGAGCGTGTACAACCACGGGCCCAGAGCCTCTGCCGGAGTGCCCCGAGCCTTCTGGACCACAATCGCCGCCCTCGCCCAGCGCTTCCACACCTTGTATGCAGCAGCTCCGTCGTTGCCGTCCCCGCTGAACCGCTTCACGCTGGCTGCACCTCCTCCTTGGTCTGTCATCGTCACCGTGTGACGGGCTCCTGCCCAGTCACGTGCTCCTCACTTCTCGCTGTTCTGGCTCAAGCCACTGCGAATCCGTCCTGACGATCGCGAGAGGAGTCGAGCTCGAGAGGATCTGAGGATGATGCTCTTCCTGCCTCCTGCTGATAGCGGCTGAGGGCGCCCGTGCGTCCGCGCGGAAGGGGGCCTATCGAACCATAACAGTGGCTACGGCAACAGACAGGTCCGCAAGGGCTCAGGCAGTGGAGGGGCCTCTAGAGGGGCCCTCAGGGGGTCCGTGTTCGCAGGATCCCAGGCACCTCGGCCTTAGATCCCTTCCCTGAGGACCCCATCCCTGGGAACCTCATCTTAGAACCACCGACCCCCCCGCCCTTTGTGGGCCCCGGAGACGGCAGGACCGCTTCGTCACCGTTTGCGAAATTGCGCCTCTTGAAAATGGAAGCGGCAGACATCGGCGACCAGAAGCGGCAACAAAACGGCTCCGGGACCGGAGCCGGAGCCGGAGCCAGAGCCGGGACCAATTACGGCGACGGAACCGGCAAAACCAACACGGCGTTGGAACCGACAAGCAAACGGCGAGACGGAGCCGGTGACAGAACGGCCCTGCCGTTTCCAGGGCCCGCGGCCCCCGCCCGGCTGGCGCGCGCCGCGGCGCCATGGGCAGGGCGGAGGCGCGCCCCAGGCCGCGCGCCCTGCTGCTGGGCGCGCTGGGCGCGGCGGCCGCCGGCCTGTCGCTGGCCTGCGGGCTGCCGCTCCTCGACTGGGCGCTGCTCGACGCGGCCGAGGCTCGAAGAGCGAGACACGGCACAAACATGGTCGGAGGCGATCGAGGGGGGAAGTTCGGGGTTCGAAGTGCGAGGTTCGAGGTTTTCGGGCGCTTTCGTCGGTGCTCGGCGGTTTTCTAGCCTCTGTGTGCTTGCCAGCAGCTGCGCCTCGCCGAGGGCGTTACGGGTGTGCCCAGATCGTCCCGAGCGGCCGCCGGAGACCCGAGTTATGACCCCCAGACCACTCGGCGGCACGCCCAGGGAGGAAGTGAGAAGGAGAAGGCCTTCTCAGAAGGCGGCGGGACTTCTCAGAAGCCCTCGCGCCTTCTGAGAAGTCTTCGGTGCGTTCGGGGGAGTCTTCGAAGACTTCTCAGGAGGCTGGGGGGCTTCCCAGCCTTCTGAGAAGGCCCGCCCCTTCTCAGTTCCCCCCCTCGCTCGCCGCCGAAAGAAACGGCACAAACATACACTTTCGGAGTTCTTCGCGGATTTCTGGGATCTGCGCTGGGGCCCCCTGGCGACGCCGCCTCTGGCGCGCTCCGCGCGCCAGAGCGGGTGGTGTCCAGCGTGGATCCAAGAAGTCCGCGCGGACCCCAAAGAGTTTGCGTGTATGCCGTGCTCTTTTCCTCCGGAGGAGGAGTCGCCGCTGGTGCCAGACCTGGTCCCGAGCCAGAAGACGAAGTACTACCTCAAGGAGGACCGGTACTTGTCCTGGCTGCGCATCAGCTACGAGGCGCGCAACAAGTTCGGCGGGCGCGTCCTGCACTTCGGGGGCCACTGGTTCTCCCCGCGGAAGAAGACCACGGCTTGGAGCTACGCGGACAAGACGTCGCACAGGCCCACTGAGCCGTGGTTCACCGTTCGTTATTCGGGCCTGCCTTTTTTCAGTCATACGTACAGGATATACGACGTCGAAGACGGAGCCCTGAGATATTCGATCTACCGGAGCCGTTGGGGTGGAAGGTGTCGGCTATTTCTGTTCGACTGCAAGCCCGAGTGGTACATATACCGCGGCTGGATAGGTGGGGAGGTGGCCTACTACGGCATCGGGGAAGACGAGATCGAGGAGGACTCGCCGCACTTTTTCTTCTACCCCTCCAAGGCGGAGAGCCTCGACGAGTGGGTAGCCTTTGTGAGCCACCAGCGCCAGCTGGAGGACGGCGAGGACGTGTACGTGGTGCAGGTCCGCGAGGGTGAGGATGCGGCTCTGCTGCTGGCCGCCGCCACCGTCATCGACCGCTGGGCGGACCTGGAGAGGCCAGAGTGAGGCGGGCCGCGGCCGACCGCGAGGTCCACCCGATTTGGCACGGCCCCTCAAAAGCGAGCAATCGTAGAGGTCAGCACATCCAGCCATCGAGCAGGGGATCAGCTGCAGGATGGATCTGCCCCAGAATGGATCTTTCCGTCGAATCTGCGAGCGAGTCGTGGGAGCTCCGTGGATCTACGGAGCAGTCGACCAATTTTCTTTGCAGATTCAAAGGGGAAGTCAATTTTGGTGTAAATCAGTTCTCTGGTCGATCCCCTTTACTCGAAGCAAGGACGCCCAGGCGAGGTGCACTCCCCCTCGGGGAGAGGCAGGTCTCTCCCCGGAGGGGAGGCAGGAGATTTGGGGTGAGCTCTCTCCCTGAGCCACCTTCACCCCCAGGGGGTTGGTGTTGAGTCGGGCATGTCCCTCTACAGAAGGAATGTTCAACAATAGTGTGAACATGGTTTGGGGGCGATTTTTCGTTTTTTTTCCTATTTTTTTGATCATTGCGAAGGCCTTACGGCCTGTGCCGTCGACCCTCAAGCAGACGACCCTGACCACGACGAGGTAGAGGAATGAGGAGGAGGAGACGCAGGAGGAGGGGGCGGAAGACGACGAAAAACAACGAGGAGAGGGAGCAGCAGAAGGGGGGTGGCGATGATGTGGAAGCGCATGGGGATGTGGAGGCCGAAGTTGAAGGGACTGCACCGGCGGGGACTGCAAGGGGACGTGGAGAAGGAGAGAGATGACGGGTTTGGGCTGAGGATGGCACGGAATAAGAGCAATGATGCAAAAAAGCGCGCGGGTTCGAGGTCGACCAGTGATCGCAAACATATGAGCTCGATCCGATTCCCGCCGCTCATGTGCCATTGCTGGCGTTCAGGCCGTTTAAGGCCCTCTTGGGGCCATCTGGGGGCCTTTTGGGGGCCTCTTGGGGTTCTCTTGGAGCATCTTGGGGCCTTTTGGAACTTTTTGAGGGGCTTTGAGAGCCTCTTGGAGGCTCCCGGGGATCTCCTGGAGGGCTCCTGGGGACCACTCGGAGCCGAGGTCTCGAAATATCCGTTCTGGTCCTCCGTCTGGACCCCCTTTCGAAGCCGTACGGGGCTTCTTGGCCTGTTTTGAGTTTTTCGAGTCGTCTGGGAAGCCTTCTAAGGCTTTTTGAGGCCCTCCTGGGGGCGTCTTGGGCCGTGTTGGGGGCGCTCTTGGCGGCCTCTGGGGCTGCCGTGGATGATGTGAAAGCTGAAATGGCGAAGATGGTGAAGATTTTGATATAAGAATGAGACGATTTTGCTGTTTGGTGCACGTGTGGGACCTTTTTTGGGGCGCTTTTGGAGGTTTCGTGGGGCGTCTTCGAACTTTCGGGCTGGCTGACAGCCATCTTGGGCGCTGAAGGATTCATTGTTCGGCGACGCGGGGCTCTCGTGGACCATAGTGAGAGCTTCTCGTGGCACTCTTGGATGGTCATTGTTTTGTTTGAAGCTCGGGAGACCCCGGGGGGGTGGCATTTCGGCCCGGGACCTTACCCCCCCCGGGGACATTCCCCGGGACCCCCCCCGGGACCCCCCCCGGGACCTCCCCCCCCAGCGGGAAAGGGATCACAAAGAAAGGGCTTCCCTTCGACTCAACTACGTACGACGTTACTTAATTTCGTTCTCGTCCAAAATCGGCCCGTAGGAGGACAAGCACGCCCGACCCAAGGTTGGTGGGATGAGGGCGCTCTTGAGCGCTCCAGAACGCTCGGAGCGGAGGCGCCGTTCGATTCGCATCCTCCAGGCCCTCTGGGTCTTCGAGCAGGGGATCGATTGCAGAATCGGTTTACTCCAATACGCATTGATTTCCCGTCGAGTCTACGAAGCATGCCTACAATGCCCCACAGATCTACGGACTATTCTGCTGGCCTCCAGCCAGTGCCGCCGATCCGGGGCGCTCCGGATTATGTTGATGATTCTGACGGTGGTGGTGGTGGTGATGATGATTATGATGATGATGTTGATGATGCTGATGACGATGATGATGATGATGCTGCTGATGAGGATGATGATGGTGATGATGCTGATGATGACGATGACGATAATGACGATGATGATGATGATGATGATGATGATGATGCTGATGATGCTGCTGCTGCTGCTGCTGCTGCTGATGATGATGATGATGATGATGATGATGATGATGATGATGATGATGATGATGATAGTAATTATTATGGTGACGGTTATCATGGTAATGGCCATGTGGTCATCTTGGGCGTCTTGGACCGATCGTTCGGTGAGTTGGGGCTTTCTTGGGCCGTCTTGGGGGCCTCTTGGGGCCCTGTTGGCCCGTCTTGGGCCTCTTGTGGGCTCGAATGAGTCATGCTGGAACGTTCTGGGGGCCCCAGAGGGTGCGCGGGGAGTCTCAAGAGATTCGAGAGCTTGGGTCCAGGCCCATTAAGAATCCTCAGGCTTGAGGAGTGAGTCTCAGGGGATTGAGAAAGGGACCCGGGGAAGCCTCTTGGGGGTCGTTTTGGGGCCTCTTGGGGTCTTTTTCGGGCCTCTCGGGGGCCTTCTGGGGCCTCCTGGGGGCTTCTGAAGGGCCTGTGGGCCCCCCCGCCCCCGAGCACTAAATGCGTCGGGAATGGCGTCCCCCCCCTCTTGCAGAGCGAAGCTTGAGCGAGCTCAAGTCCACGCTCTCAGAAACTCACATGTTGGATCGGCGGATTCTACGTATTGCGCACATGGGTCCGACGAGAAAGCCAATTCTGTAGTCGATCATCTACTCGAGCTCTTGGAGGGCTGCTCCTTGTTGTGGTTTGTCGGGCGACATGCCGGCACTGGCCTCGACGCCCACCGCCGCGGGCGGTAGAAAGCATAGGGAGAAGCAGAGATCGACCTAAACGGTGCTTTGGCGATCTCGTATACCGTTTTTGTTCTGATTTCGTTTTGCAGCAAAGGCGGAACGAATCCATAACGAGGGGAGAGGATAGCAAAACGAGAACGGACAACACCATTAAGGTGGAGCCCTGGGAAGGAGTCCAGCCAATCTATCATTATTTTGATCCTCTGGCGCATCACGGCCGTTGCCCGGACCAGGCTCCCCCTCCCCGCCGCGGGTGAGGGTATTGATCGTACGTAGGCGGGGGGCCCTGGACTGGAAATGGGACAAACTACAACACACTAGAATCAATTCCAACCAGTTTAGTACAAATTCGAACCACTTTGGTATTCATTCCAACCACTTTAGTACGATTTCTAACAAATCTCTGTGAGAAGCCCCACAGGCGTCTTAGAGGCGTCGTACTCCAGGTTGCGCTTGGCGCTGGCCATGTGCCGTCTGGTTCGCGGGGAGTCCTCGCCCCCTGCTCGCGGGATGCGAGAGAGCTTGCCCCATCTTCTGGTTCACCTGGTTTACCTCCTCCTTCTCCTCCGCTTCCTCCCCCTCCTTCCCCTCCTCCTCCTCCTCCTCCTTCCCCCGCCTCCATCCTCCTGCCCCCACACTTCTCCTGTTCCTCCTCCTCCTCCTCCTCCTCCTCCATCTCCTCCTCACCCTCCTCCTCTCCTTCTCCCCCTCTTGCTCGCCAGCTCCTTCCCTCAAGCCCTTAAGCCCTTGAACCCTTGAGCCCTTAAACCCTTGAGCCCTCAAGCCCTTAAGCCCTTACACCCCTTAAACCCTTGTGCACTTAGTTTTTATATCCTTCAGCCCTTCGATCCTTAAACCCTCAAGTCGCTAAACCCTCACATCCTTAAGCCCTTAAGCCCTTGAATCCTTACACCCCTTAAGCCCGTAGCCCCTTAAACACTTTACCCCTTGATCCTTCAAGCCCTTGAGCACTTCAGCCCTTGAACCCGTAAGCCCTCAAACCCTTGACAATTAAAACCCTAACCCCTCAAGCCCTGAAGTCCTCGAACCCTTACGTCCTTGAATCTAACACCCTTACGTGCTTAAACCTTTGAGCCCTCTAAGCCTTTGAACCCTTAAGCACCTAAACTTTTGAAACCCTCAGAAAGTCCTAAGCCCTTGAACCGTTAAGCCATTGAGCCCTTAAGCCTTTGAGCCCTTGTACCCTTGAGCCCATACATCCTTACAGGAGCAGCCACGGAAAACAAGGGTACACATTCAAACCTGGGTATTCGTGCAAGCTTCTGGAATACATGCACACACGCAAGCATATTATTTGGTTTTTGGATCGAAGACGCCTGTGGCGAGTCACCGCCGCCACCTGCCCTTTCGGAAACGCCTATGTGGCCGAACGTTGAGGCCAGAACCCTGCCAAGCTATGAAAGAGCACGCCCGCTGCGCCAGGAATAAAGAAAGGGCTCCAGCTTCAAGCTACCCCCCCTCCCTTCCAAACGGGGGGGGAGCTTCCGAAGCTACCCCCCCTCCCCCTCCCTTCCTTCTCTACTGGTGGTTTCTAAACTAGGGGGGGCCCTGGCTAAAGGGGGGGGGGGTCGAAGCTCCCCCCCCCTCCCTCCCTTTTCCAAAGCAGGATGTGGGGTGAGCCTGGGTTTCCCTTTCAAAGGGGGGGGGGGCTTCTGAAACACCTCCCCCCTCCCTTCCTTTTTGGTCTGGACACAGGGGGTGGCGGCTTCAAGCTAACCCCCTTCCGCCACCCTTTGCAAAGGGGGGGGGGGCTTCTGAAGCTACCCCCTTCCTCCCTTGCAGGATTATGGCAAAGTATTGGGATGTCTGCAGACAGCTGCGCACCGCAGCGCTAGAGGACGTATTGGAGAACAACGTCGAGACCACACGCGAATTCAAGGCTATGAACACGACTGGCGCGCACTGGACCTACTCGATAGAGACCC